ATCTGCTTCACTAGCCTGTTTTTGGTTCCTTCTACTGTGTTCTTCAATGCATACATTGTATTCTTTATTTCCTCCTGGCTGTTATTGATCACTTCTATGTCCTGTCTTATGCTGATGTAGTTTTCAGTAAATTCCTTGTAACTTCCATGTAGATTTCAGTAATTCTCACTAAGCTAATTGAACTTCCTTATAACCATTGTTATGTACTCAATATCTGGCATTTTACATCCTGCTATGACATTTAGCACTCTTTCTGGGAATTCCTCCTTCCCTTTTGATTGAAGGTTGTTTCTTTGCCCATTTTATAGGAGCCTCTTCTTGTTTTCTTCTGCTTCTGAAATTGATCTTCTTTTACTCCCTGTCTTTGTGATGTGAACTTCTATGGTAGGAGACCTGTGTGATTAGGTGGTGTAGGCTCCTTGTACTCCTGAACTTGATGCTCTTGGGTAGCCCTTTATGCCATTTATGTTAGCTCTCTGGCTGTAACTGGGTTTTGATTGTTGTTGGGTCATTCTTTGGTGGGTCCTTCCCTCCAGTGGTTGACTGAAGGCCACTCCAGCCACCATGTCTTGCATCTTGTTGTGCAGGTGATGCAAGAATAAAACCACAAAGCCCAGGAAAGAAACTCACACCTGCAAAAATAACTCCCACCTACAAACTCACTATCAACACCAAATGAACCAGTATTAATAAGGATTTAATGTGATTAAGACTACTATAAGAAAGGAGAGCGAATATACGATGATCTACTGAAAGGAATGATTTTGAGAGGGTAGCAGGAAGAGCACTAATAAGAGTAGGGAATCAGAGCAATGTAAAGAAAATTTACCTCATAAATAAAAAAGAGAATGAAGAAGGCAGAATGGAGTAAGAAAAGGGAAGCATAAAGCATTATGTTTAAACAGAAATTTAAAAATACAGGGAGAGACAGAGAAAAAAGAAAATAAAAAGTAAATAAATAATAAAAAATAGGAATCTAATTGGAGAAAAAGATCCACCACAGCACAATCAACAACAAATGAGCTAAGATTAACATAGGTGGGATGGCAATAAGAGGGAAAAAAGAATGAATGAAAAGCTTAAAAGATGTCTAGAGGAAAGGGAAGTGATTTGGAGATGCTAGAAGGAGAGAGAATACTAAGACTAAGGAACAAAAACCAGGCTAAGAGAGGGGAAAATTAAAATTTGAGACAAAAAAAAAAGAAAGGGCAGGATGAAAGAAAAATAGAAAAAAGAAAAAAAAACAGGCTAAGACAGGACAAAGTTACTATATGAGATGAAAAAAGAACAGGCAGGATGAAGGCAGAATGGAGTAGAAGAGGGGAATTGTACAATTTCAGATTTGAAATTCAAGAATAGTGAAGATCTACTGATAAAATTTTAAATGCAATGACAACTACCCTATCCACAACCAACAAGTAAAGTTTGCTAAAGGTGAAGAGAAAACAAGGGTATTTTAAGAGCAGGAAAAAGAATGTGCAATGACCATTGACAAGAAAACTGGTTTTGATGGCTGCACATGGGAAAAATAGTAATAGTGCAGAATGGAAAGAAGTTGTAGCAAGAGAGAAAAGAAAATTTAAAATGAAAATAATATGAGGAAAGAATAAGGTAAAAATGGGGTAAGAGAAAGGAAGAGCAAAATATGAGAATAGAAATAAACTATAATATCAAATCTGGTGACTCAATATGCACAAACTTGAAGGACAAAAAGTGAATGTTAAAAAACTGTGCAGGAAAGAAAACATCACAAATCATGAAGACCATGGTGGATTTCATCTCGGTAGTATCTAGTATTTAAAACTGTTTTTTCTTTTTCTTTCTGTTTCCACCTCTGGTAATGTCAGATGGTGTCCCAGTCTGGCCTTAGGCAGCTTGTTCAAGATGACCAGGAATCTACCATCTGTGGCTGACTCCTTCAGTTGTTAATCTAATTACTCTGCACTCAGCAGTCAGGCTTAAGTGCCACAGGTTGGGCAGAATAAGTCTTGGGGTCAGGGCTATTGCTTCCCCTCAGGCTGCTGCCACTTGAAGGGGAATGGTCTACTTGAGCAAGATGGCTCCTGCAGCATGGGGAATGACTCAGCACTGGGATCCTGGTGGCTGTTCTGTCTCTCCCCAAAACCACCATCGCCAGTCTCTCCTCAAGCATCTCTTGTACACACTGCCCCACCCTTTGCAGGAGCCCAGGGTAAGTGGCTGCATATGAAAAATTTATACATTGCCTTTCAAATGCCTCTGTGTCTCCAGCCTTCTGTCTCTGGCAGAGAGAAACCCTGGTACTTTTCATAGCTGGATGTCATTTGTGTACTTTTAGGGTGCTGGTACTATGGGCTGGGGAACCCAGCTTGGGGTTTAGACCCCACATTTCTTAGGCAGACACCCCTATCCACTGAAATATCCCTCTGGCACTTTTGCTGCCATCTGTGGGAGCCCAGCCAGCCCTCTTGCATCTCCTGTGCACTCCCTAGCAGTCACATTGTGTTTAAGCTGTTTCTTCTGTCTGTCTGTGGTTATAAGGTTTCTCTCCCACTGTTGTTCAGTTGTTTATTCTGGATGACTTCTCCACAGTTTAGTTGTAATGATAGATTGGTCTTGGGAAGAGGTTAGTGTAACTTCCACTCACTACTCCACTATCTTGGATCTACTAGAATCAAAATCTTAACAAGCAGCACCAGAAGATGCTGAGACACAACAAGCATGACTTTCTTTGCTTTCTATGGCAGTGGATCTTAAGTTTTAAAGTACAAAAGGATCACTTAGGGATTTTGTTAAATATAGCAGTTTATTAAACATGCAAATACTTGGGTTCCAGCATAGAGATTCTGATTCAATTGGTATAGGCTAGGACTTTATCACCCCCAGGTAACTCAGAAGCCAATAGTCCCCAGACTGTTGTGTTTTATGAAATACTCCACTAGGGATATAGAGATGAATTAGACTCATTACCTATCCCCAGGGAGTTTATGGATTAATGGATGAAATAAGAGAAATGTAAAGTGTCAGGAAACAACTTCTAAGGGCTTCTAGTGTTCACCAATAGACTGCATTATAGAAGGAATTGGTAAAGTTCCAAGTAATAAGAAAAAATAACTAGGAAAAATGTTTTGCTTGAATGAGAAAAATAATATAAAGCTTGCTTGATACATGAAACAAATTAAAATTACCTTTGTAGTTTTATTGTATTTGTTATTTTAAGTGGTTTAACACAGATATAGCAAATATCACATCAAAATTGTGTCTAAAAATTATGTTATCTGAAACCTATAATTAAAAAGATAATTGACTAACATGAAAATAGAAGTTATAAGATATTAAAATGTAATATCTGCCTATACATGCATATATAGATATATACACATATAAATGTGTACATAATTATACATTTACAAGGATCTGAAAGCATCTTACTAACTTCTCAGTGAAATGAGTCATTCTGGCAATCCTGTGGAAAATGTCATAGGTAGATCTGAGATGAGAAATAAAGAGCAACTGATTATGGCCTTAGAACTCCTGAGTATGAGTATAGAGAATATATAAAATCATTTTGCTACTTATGTGGGCAGACAGCTAGGTCAGAACTATCATTTCAACAGACTGGAATGTATATAAAAACTTTTCTTTAGAACTGTATTTCTATGGGAGCAGAATGAAGTATGGAATTCCCTATGGTACAGTGTGCTCTGGCCATGGCCTTAAAAGAACAAATATATCTGAGTTTGACATGGTTTCTTGAAGGACACATGAAGGGGACTACATACTCATCCATAATAATAGGGATCATAAACATTTGTTGAACACCTACTGTGTGTAAGCTAATGCAGAGCCCCTCCCTCACTATTTTAGTTGGAGATATGGCATGCAGAGAATGAGGTGATGGACCAGTTTAATAGACTATGTGCTCAATGAGAGAGTGAGAGCTGGGCAGGTCAGAGAGGTTATCCTAAAGAAGCCTTCCTGAACCTTGAAGAACAGGTGGGAAAGAATGGCCTCCTTTCATTCATTCATTCATTTACTCATTCAATCATGTATCAAATTCATTCAACAACTATTTATTGAGCACCTGTATGCCAATTTCTGTGCTTGACATTGTAGGTATACAAAATTGAAAGTGTCCTTGTCCTGGGGCAGTTTATAACCCAAATAAGTAAACTAGTATTTATAACACTATAATATGTGCTGTGATAGTAGTAAGCCCATAATAAGAAAGTCACCTTATCCAGACTGGAGAGGAAACAATCTAAATTGATATATATTTTATTTTTTTTTTAAGATTTTATTTCCACATTTTTCCATGTATAATGTGCATTTTTAGCCCAAAATTTTTAGGGAAAAATAAGGATGTACATTATACATGGGCAGTAATAATTCCATATCTATGTAAATGTTTTTAATTCTTTTATTTATGCTTATGTGTTAAAAGTGTAACTCTAGAAAGCAATAACAATAGATAACAATATCCATATGCAAAATAATACCTTGGAATATGACAGGCAGGTTTGTTTCTAAATAAATAAAAAGATGTTCTTCCTGAAAGTTTGAGCCAAGTATGTGAGTGCACAATATATACAGGAGTGCATTACACATGGAAAAATACAGTATTTATTTTTAGAGAGAGTGGGAGGAAGAAAGAGAGGCAGAGAAACATTAATGTGAGAAACATCAGTTGGTAGCCTCCCACATGCACCCCAGCTGGAGACCAAACCCACAACCCAGGTATGTGGCCTGACCTGGGAATTGAACCAGTGACCAATCTCTTTGCATAATAATACACAGCCAACTGAACCATACCAGTCAGGGTCTAAACTGATATATTTTTAAAATAGACATTAACCAAGGAAAGGACAATGGAAGAAATGTTCTAACCTGCGGGAATACCATCTTGTGAAGGCCCAGGACACAAGAGAGCATGGCATTCTTGTGGAATGAGGGGAGTGTGAGCCAAGGAGCAGAGGGAGGAAGAAACAGGGTGTATACCAAGGACAGTGTGGAGACCAGACATGGTAGAGATTGGTCTTCCAGGTTAGAAGGCAAAGGAGTCTGTATTCTATCCTGGGAGCAGTGACCAATCACTGAAGATTACTGAATTAGGACAGGGTAGCTTGAGCAAAGTGTTGGTTTAGGAAGATGAATTTGTGAGTGGCAGGATGCCAGGATGTCTCAGTAGGTTCCTCAGGGCAGGCTCTAGTCAAAGTTTGTTTAACGAATTCATCTAACTATATTCCTCTGCTTTGTGGTTACTTCTCCTCTCTTCCCCTACACATAGTACTTCCTAGCAAGATAGACCCTTGCATGAAATCTAAACTGACTACAGTCCTGCTAGATGAATATGAAGTTTCCATCTATGACCTGGAGATATGAAAGGCCAAGAAATATGGCCCAACTACTATACACAGGCACATGGGCTTGTTTTTGTCCTGGATTCCAGCAACCTAAGACATATGCAGGAAGCGAAGACCACCTTAACAAGTCTGCTGTGTGATACAAGAGTGGCAGGGAAACCCATCCTACTGTAAGTCCCCAACTTTATGCTCAATTTCCCCTTTCCATTTTGTGCCTTCAGAAGACAAGTAAACAAAGGAAGAGTTGGCTGGTCCCTTTGTCTCATCTAGTTAGACCTCCTCTTTCCTTAAGCTAAATTAGAGGGGAGTGGCTCAGACCTCTGTGATCTGTTTTAAAGAGTAACTTTCTACCTTACACTGCCAAGGCTGAACATGTTACCTAATTGTGAAAAGGCAATGTTGAAGGCACAGGAAATGGAGATTAATATCTAGATATCTCCCACTCCCACCCCTTGACTATTCCTGAAGACTGACTTTCTGCATTTGATTCTCATTTCTGGATTCAGTCTTTGACCCAGAAATGGTGGCAGAAAACCACCCCTATTTTGCATAATTGATGCCAATGCTTTCCTCCCTTGGCAGACTACCCAAAAGTCATGTAACTAGCACTGAATCCAGGGTGATACTTCAGGTGGCCCATCAATCCTCACCCCCGACTCCATTTTTGCATTTTTGTTCCTCATTAGCACCCCCAACTCAAGCATGAACAGAATTTGGGAGAGGATATTAAAAACTCCAAATCTGTTAATATCTCAGTTAGCAATTTTAATTAAAGTGTGATGGCATAGTATAGAGAGAAAGTGAAAAATGCGGTCTGGAGATTATCTTGGATTCAAATAACTTGTGCCATCCTTTCCTCCATTGAGAGTTGGTTAGAAAAAATTCTGGCTCAACTCACTGTGTATGGATTTAAAGCTAGTTCTTGGATATGTAGCAGTTGTACCAGAATTGGTTCTCCCCTTCTTTCCCTTATTTTCTTGCCCTTGGCCCCTATTTCTGGTTTACTCTTCCTCTCTTCTTCCCACTATCTCTCCTGTACCGTGCTCTAGGATAGCAAACAGACAAACAAGAAGAATGCCCTCTTACTTTGTGATATTATTAAGTATCTATTTCTGGAAGGGATAGTGAATGAGAACAAGTCCATGTGCCAAGTAGTAAGTGTCAACCCTTCCCCTCCCTTGTCTTCTCAAGCCCAGTTTATGCATACTTTGTACCATTCCATGGTCAGTTCCATATGCTGGATCTCAGGCAAAACCTCTCCATGCCAAGCAACATCTACAGTGATGATTTCTGGCTCAACAGTGATAATCAATATCATACTCTTGTAACACTCTCACATCTGTTTTCTCACTAGGCATACAAAAGTTCTCTATAAAATTGGAAGCTTCAGTATCCTCATTTTATGGATGAGACTCAAAGACTCTAAGTGACTTGCCCAAGGTCACAAATCTGAGACATTACACCACAATCACTTTATTAAATTGCCTTTGCTTTTGTAGCTTTCATTTACCTTCTCAAGTGTGAATGTTGAGTGTCTCCTAGAAAGTCTTAGAGCCTCTCTAGATCTTATGTACACCTCTGCTCCTTGGCTGAGAGTGATATTGAATGTAGTCCCCAGTGGTCCCAGGTTTCTGAACTCCAGGTTTCTGGACTCCAGGTTTCTGGAGTCTTCTCTTTTTGTCACAGGAACACTGTTCAGCTATCAAAAAGAAGGAATGATCAGCCTATAATTGAAGGGTTGTACTGGCTGTTAGCATCCATTGACAGTAAACAAAAAGAGTTGTGTACTTGCCAACAGTCACTCCCCTCGAGTATCCCAACCTCCAAGAACACCACAGGCTTTGAGGAAAGATATGTATCAGACAGGTACTGAGATGCCTCTATTAGGTTGACTATTAGGAACAAATACAGGAGTCAGTCTTCAGTATAAGCAGTGAGTTCTGCGGGGTGCTTGGATTCTGTGGGGTTCTGAACAAGTCTCTTAAGGTCATTGGCTCAAATAGGGGTAGGCCAGTGACCATAAAAATTCCATCATTGATAGGTATACCCTCCCCCACTGGCACAACTTGAGTGATCATGTTAGTGGGAAGAGTTGCAGAAAGGTAAAGCTAACCTATCAACATTAGAGCTTCTCTAAAACAGGGTTTCTAATACCTGGTTTGCCATGTGGAGGAGAAAAGGAACATGAGCCCCTCAAGGAGGAACTTACAGGTCATATTCTCTGCATGACTGTCCTGGAGTCACCCCACATTCTATACTTACAGTTCTCTGATCCAATAATAAGGCAAGATGGGAGTAAAGGGGAATATGAAAAAGAAGAAAACAAGTGATCAAGGTTTTGAGGAGTAAAAGGCCTAAAGGTCCTCTTTCTCTATTGTCCTTTTCATTGTTCAAAAGTATATGTCAGGAATAGGGTAATAGCTACATTAAATTAAGGAACTTGAAGTGTGTGTATTTTCACTTTTGCTTTGTCCTTTCCATCTTCCCAAGATTCCTTGCCAGTATAGAAATGTCTGAAGAAAAAGAACAGCCTCTAGGACAACATTCAATGGAAGCTAGGCCCCTTAAAGCCAATCCTACAGGCAAATGGCTGTTTAAATGTTATTGCCCCAAGGGCCAGTCTCTAAACTCTTGGGCACCAAGTGACTTTTCCCCCCTTCATATTCTTTCAGCACAGAAAGAAGGCTTAAGATTAAAACCTAAAAATAATATATTAGTGACATTTGCTTTAGATAAACACATGGAAGAAGAAGAATATTCTAGGAAAAATGGAGCTTAAAACACTACGAGCTTCACTATCAGGATGCTGACTTTCAGCCCTCAGCAACTTATACTGATGATGATTATGATGACAATGATAATCTTTTTGAAGGTAATGCTGGAACTGGTTAGTCATAAAAGAAAAAATATATAGACCTTCTCTTATGATTTATAAAACAGTATTTCTATTTTGAGTCAGAAACTCTTTTCTCATACTATGATTGATAGCCAGGAGAAAGAGAAGTGGATGAAGGGCAGGCAGAGTACTTGGGGTCCCCCACCTGATAGTCCAGTATGATGGCTCAGCACTGGCTGGCACATGGTCTTTGTTTGCATGGGTATAGGGTTATCTTAAAAGTTATAATTTCCAGTGGTGGATGTACAAAATGATACCACCTTTATAGAGAGTAGTTTAGTTGTCTGTCTTCCTCCTGTTCTCTCTCTCGAGAGAGAGAGAGAAAGAGAACTTTAAAAAATGTGGAAATCCTATAAATCAATCATCTCATTTCTTGAACTATATCCAAAGATAATTATACAAGTACCTCCTCCCCCCAAAAGTATGCCTATGATTGTTCAGTCACAGCATGGTGTACAATAACTAAAAGTTGGAAACAAGCTAAATGTCTAACAGTGGGAAACGGCTAAATTAATTATGGTGCATCTACATAATGGAATACTATGCAGACATTAAGAGGACTATTGTTGACTTATATTTACTAACATGGACAATTTTCCACAACCCGATGTTTTGTTAGAGAAAATGGCAAGTCAGAATATAACATGTACAGCATGATATATACACATGTATAGAATATCTAGAGAAAACTAACTGAAACATTAGCAGTCATTTTCTCTAGGGGTGATATACTAGGTGAGAAGCAAAAGACCTAGGTGCCTTTCTTTGGATTTTTGTTTTATTGGAAATTTTCTTTTTATAATAAGCATATATGATTTTTCCCAATATAACAAAGGCATTAAAGAAAAAGCTGCGAGGACATGAAGGCCCATTGTTGTTAATGGCCTCTCCTTCTCAATGTTCCCTGGGACCTCAGTCACTGTGATGGTCAACTATCAATATTATAATGTCACCTCTGCTCTCCAAGGGATCTGGCCCTTAGGCGACCCCAGAGTCTTGGGTTGCTACATCTATATGGAGGGATCTGGACTTGGCCAGGAGCACCGAAGAGGAAAAAGGCACTGATCTGGGGATAAGGGGTGAAGATGAGAGTTGAGTGGAAGAAATCTAGTAGAAGAACAGAGGATGTGTTTTTTTAAATACCAGAAATTACCCCTAAATCTCTGTCCAAAATTACCCAAAAAAGAATGACTACCTGGGACATGGAGGAGATGATGCTGGAAGATTTCTATGAAGACATCTTTGAAACCTGTGGTTAGTATTGCTTAAATGAAGGGAAGAAGTGAGAGAACAAGAGTAAGAGAAAGTATGAGGCCAGGGGGTTCCTGGTGAGGTGCAGTCTACAGTCCCTTAGAAAGTGGACACCACCCTCTTGACCTGGAGTGGTCTGGGAAGGACAGGAAACCTGGGGCTTAGTTTCACTTGCAGTGACTGGCTGTTTTTCTTCTTCTTCTTCTTCTTCTTCTTTTTTTTTTTTTTACTTTTTAAACAGAGTACTAAAGATGAAAATGGAAGGACATCAAAAGAAACATGTAATATCTTTCCCTGAGTAAATGGGTTCATCTACAGAATCATAAGGAATACTTCTGTTTTTCAATTTCTATTTATTAATACCTCTACAGTCTCCTACAACTCTACCTATTTTAACACCATATTCCCAAGAACTCCCATTATTCCTGTACATCTGCATTCTAACCATCAAGTGAATCTTACACCTACACAGAGGCTCAAGGAAAGTTAAGTATCATCCATTTGAGAATGAAGACAACCTTGGCAAAGAATAGAGACTGTATATCTTTGCACCCAGATGCTCCCAAGAAAGCCTGTGAACAGCATGTCCAGGCTGACCAACTGAAATTGAGCCTTAGAAGTGCAGGGCCAGTTTAGAATTACATTTTTCTCCTACAGCTTTTGGGTATAATGGGACTGGCAAAAATAAATAAAACTGTCCTGCTGAGGAGTATGGTCTGCTAATCATTTTCAGTCATACCTCAAAAAACAACTCAGTTTTAAATTCCCAGCCACTGTTGGTGAAGCCTGGCAACAATTACTTTCCTGTCCCTATAAGTACAGCAATTGTTGCCTCCCTAACTCTTTGATCAGGTATGCAAAAACTGTACAAACTTGACCGCATTCAACCCTCCATCCCAACAAGGGTTGTGGTAGTAGAGGTAATCATTTATTCTTACAATGATTATTTTCACCATCAGTATCACAACCATCATTTATTGAATGGCTTCTAGATGTCAGGCACAGTTCTAAGTGCTTCACATTCCTTATCATATTCACCACAATCCTTGGGAGTAGGCACTATACCTACCCTCCTTTTACAGATAAAGGCAGAGAAGTTAAATAATTTGCTCAAGGTCCCAGAGCCTGTAAGAAGCATAGTAAGAAACTAAACCCAGATCTGACTTTAGACCTGCTTTAGGCCAGAAAGATCTGTTTATGCTTTTCTCAAACTCCAGAAAGAGAAAGCTATATCCAAGAAAAATGCTGAAGCTTAGTCATGCCCATGTCAGGAAAACTATGTTAATAGCAATAAGTACACCAATAGTAATAGTAGACACAGTTGACTGAGCACTTCCATTTTGCCAAGTGCTAAGCTAACTGCTTTACATCCATTATTGCCTTTTATCTTCACAAGCCTGGAAGGTTAATTATTACCATCTTCTTACAGAGGCAGAAACTGACATTCAGAGAGGTCAAAACATTTGTTCCAGGGTACCCAGTAGGAAGCAACAGAACTGTTTTTCAAACTAAGGTACAACTCTATAACTCATGTTTTTAACTCCTACTCTATAGTCTCACCAGACAGTATAAACCCATTAGTTCATAACTGTTTCTGAGAGACAAAAACTTTGCACAGAAAGGTCAGTCTTATAACCCCATCTGGAGGATCTGACACTAAGACTGTGTCATTTCCCATTACACATTGCACATTGCAATATGGCCTCATCTCCAAGGGAACCACCCCAGGTACCTTGTGGGTCTGACAGGATTTTGGCTGACACTCAGCTTATTAGTCATAGAGCTGGAAGGAATGTTATAGAGCCTCTAGTCCAAACCAGTTGTTAAACAGATTAGGAACTTGGGGTACAGAGAGATTAAGTGACTTGCCCATGTCTTTACAGCTGATCACTGACAGAGCTGCTCCTAAAATCCAGATCTTCTGTGTGCCTGAGCCAGGACTCTCTCTTCCCTGTCCAAATACAGTCACACATTGCTTAATGATGGGGATACGTTCTGAGAAATGCATGGTTAGGCAATTTGTCATTTTGAAAACATCATAGAGTGTACTCACACAAACCTAGATGGTATAGCCTGCCATATATCTATCACGAAGCCTATTGTTCCTAGGCTACAAATCTGTATAGCATGTTACTGTACTGAATATTGTAAGCAGTTATAACATAGTGGTATGTACTTGTGTACCTAAACATAGCTAAATATAGAAAAGGTACAGTAAAAATATAATATAAAACATAAAGTGTGTGTGCACACATGCACACATTGTGGAGGGTTAGGGGAGGGCTGTGGAGGAAGGCACTGTCTGAGGGAGAAGAGACATCAAAAGGAGTGAGGGAAGGGAGAGAGGGAAGAAAGAGAAGGGGAGAGAAAGGGAGAGCAGATATCAAAATAGACCCAAATAGCTAAAGCCTGAGACAAGAAATAATAAAAGAGGGGGAAGAGAGGTGAGGGAAAACAGAGGCTTGGGCAGGTGGTTGAGCTTCCAGACTCCCTTTCTCCCCTTGGCCAACTCCAGGCCTCAATATGGGCAAGAACACAGTGGGTGGAAAGCATGCTGAGCCTCTTCATCTATTTAAACCACCCAAAACTACCAGTAAATTCAACATCTTAGTAGTGTCCAGCCTTTTCTTTCAATATCACAAACAAACTTTTGCTTATAATCCATTATAATCTTATGGGACCACTATCGTATATGCAGTCCATAATTGATCAAATGTTGTTATGTGACACAAGATCGATGTCTTCTCTGGGTCTTCTCTCATCATGCTTCACACATCTAGATTCCTCCAATGTTCCCAATAAATATCACGGACACCAAAGATACAGCAAATATCTACTAAAGAAGAGTTTTATCAGGCAGGAGACTGTAGTAAAACAAACCAAGGTTCTCAAGAAAATTGGTTCATCCACATTTCTTTACGGCATGTGTGTTTATGAGGCAGGCGTACTTTCTCAGCTCAGAGAAGAGAGGAAGTAAAACTAAAAGGGGGTGGGAGTGCCACCTATAAATGTGGGCAGGGTGAATTTAGATTGGCATCTCTGACAAAATTGAATTTCAGTATATTAACACATTTCCCTTTATACAATGTGTATGTTCCTGGGTGTTAACCAAATTTTTCTACATAGAATCCATCAATCACAAGTAGTTGTTTAAAGAATATCCCCCAAATACAGCCAGCACACTCTTAAATTATTTTTGAGTGAATCTTAATTTTGTTAATGTAAGCAGTTACTGTACTTTCCAATCCCCCTTATCAAGCTACCGGACCTGACAATTTCTCTCAGTGAAGACAGAATGAGTGTGTTGTGAGGATCAAAGGGGACAATCTATATAACAACAATAAGCATAGTGCCTGGCACATAATAAGTAGCTCATTAAATGTTAGTTACTGTTATGATTATGGGAGATTACCTCTTTCCTGGGAGAGGTATTCT